GAGGAGGAGGAGGAGGAGGAGGAGGAGGAGGAGAATCGAGTTTGTTTGCCCTTTTTCGCACTTTGTCGTCTTCGGGGGGAATCCAGGGACCTCGGGGGACGTCTGGAAACGTCCTCCTTCTCCTCATCCTCTTTTCCTCCTCCTCCTTTCCTCCTCCTCCTCCTCCTCCTCCTCCTCCTCCTCCTCCTCCCCTCTTCTGGGCCTTCGGGGGAGTGGAAGGGATGAGGAGGAACACATGATCAGAGGGCAGACGGTAAGGGGGAGGCGGAGGTGTGAATAAGGGAGGATGTGGAGGAGAGTGGCGGGAAGGGGGGACGAGGAAGAGGTGGAGGAGGAGGAGGAGGACGATCTGAGGAGGAGATTGTGGTGGGGATGGGAAGGGCGGCAAGTGTGTGCGTGTGTGTTTATGCACCTATTTACTTCTTCCGACCCCATCGGCGCGCTGGAAGAACGAGGGCGGGGGATTCTGGAGCACCCCTCGGGCTGCAGCCCTTCGTGACCCCGTTGCAGCCCTTTGTGGCCCCCTCGCTGCCCGTCGTGGCCCAGTTGCAGCCCTTCGTGGTCCCCTCGCTGCCCGTCGTGGCCCCGTTGCAGCCCTTCGTGGTCCCCTCGTTGCCCTTCGTGGCCCCACTGCAGCCCTTCGTGGCCCCCTCTCTGCCCTTCGTGGCCCCGTTGCAGCCCTTTCGGGGGCGCAGAGCCCTTCGGGGTTCGTGCTCGCAGCTTCCCCTGGCGCTGGACGCTTCGTGGCTCGTGCCAGGGGCAAGCTTCGACCGCCCGTGCCCTTCGGGGCTCGCAATTCCCAGCTCCATTGGCGCCGATCCTTTCGGGGCACGTGCCTCGCTGGGCTCCTCTGTCCCTGAATCGCTCGATCAGGATAGCCCCTCTGATGCGCGGCGGATTTCTCGATCTGCCTGTCTCGACTGTCCGGCTCCAAGCTTGCCACTGCGCAGCCTCTGGGAGAACGCGCTGGCAGGAGCCGCATGGGAGAAGGCACGCGGGAAGGTGGCTGGGAGTGATGCCCAGGAGACCCCAGCCCAGTGGTTGGCCAGAAGACGAGGATTCAATCCAGTCCTAGCCTCCCCGTCCTCCTCCTAATCTGCGGATTGGCTGGCACACGTACAGTCGGGGCCCTGAAGAAGGAACCCTTTTCGTTGGGGAGGGGCTCCGTGTTCCTTGATTGTTTCGCAGCTTGCCTTAGGTTTTCCTTGGGTTTTCGGTGTGAAGTCGAAGTTCAACTTATGGAAAATAGGGGACCCGTTCCTTATTTGGGGTTCCTTAGGTCAACGCCCCGACTGTAGCCCCTCTGATGCGCGGCGGATTTCTCGATCTGCCTGTCTCGACTGTGTTGTTTGAGAGGTCTTGCATTCGGGAGGTCAAGTCCTATACGGAGTAGGCCCACGTGGTGCAAGCCATGGGCGGCCGCGAAGGCGGCCACGGGCGGCAGCGTGGCGAATCCTCGCCGGACCCACGCAGCGCACGAGGCGGCCACGAGGCGGCCACGGGCGGCTGAGTGGAAAGTCCCTGCCAGCCCCGTCCACTGCCTTAGCGACCGAGGTACAGTCGGGGCGTTGACCTAAGGAACCCTAAATAAGGAACGAGGCCCCTGTTTTCCATGAGTTGAAACTTCGATTTCCGATCGAAAACATGAGGAAAACCCGAGGCAAGCTGCGAAGCACTTAAGGAACGCGGAGCCCCTCCCCAACGAAAAGGGTTCCTTCTTCAGGGCCCCGACTGTAAGAACCCACGCCTTCTGCCATCATGGCTTCTGTTTGGGCTGCGGTGTGGGTCGCGGGTGGGCCGCGGGGTGGGTCGCGGGGTGGATCGCGGGGTGGGTCGCGGGGAGGTCGCGGGTGCATCGAGGGGGGACGACGGCGACCACAGACAGCAAACAAGCAGCATCTGGGCCACGGGATCCCCTTTAGGGGGCCACATGCGAACCCCACCCCTGCCCCCCACGATTTCTGAGGGGGAGGGTGGGGTTCACTTCGTTCGGGAGCTCCCAAGCCAAGCGAACCCCACCCCACCCCTCAGAAAGCGTGGGGGGTAGGGGTCGGGTTCGCATGTGGCCCCCCTACCCCTTTCGTCCACGCACCCAGGGGTGGTGCATGAGACCGTTCTGCCCCTCTCACTCTTAGTTGGGAGGGATTGGCCTACTCCTACTCCTCCTCCCCACTCTTACTCTTATTCTTGCTCCGACTCGTACTCCTAGCTTTACTCGTACACTCACTCTGAGCATGGACCTCTCGGCGCTCCTCTGCAGCGCGGGGGGCGTCGCGCCGTCCCCCCCCGCGCTTCGGCCGTCCTCCTCCTCCTCCTCCTCCTCCTCCTCCTCCTCGTACTCCTCCTACTCTTCCTCCTCCTCCCTCCTCCTCCTCCTCCTCCTCCTCCTCCTCTCCTCTCCTCCTCCTATCTTTACTCATACTCTCGCTCCGAGTATGACCTCTCGGCGCTCCTCTGCAGCGCGGAGGGCGCCGCGCCGTCCCCCCCCTCCGCGCTTCGGCCGTCCCCTTCCGCATCTCGCCTGGCAGGAAAGACAGCGTGTCAGACACCAGCGACGCCTCGGGCCCGGTCGGCGGCACCACCTCCTCCTCCTCCTCCTCCTCCTCCTGCCCTCTCTCCCCTCCTCTCCTCCTCCTCCTCCTCCTCCTCCTCCTCCTCCTCCTCCTCGTCCTCGTTCTCCTCCTCCTCCTCTTTCTCCTCCTCCTCCTCTCCTCCTCTCCTCCTCGTTCTCCTCCTCCCCTCCTCGTTCTCCTTCTCCTACCTCCTCCTCCTCTCTCCTTCTCCTCCTCCTCTTTCTCCTCCTCCTCCTCCTCTCCTCCTCCTTCCTCCTCCTCCTCGTTCTCCTCCTCCTCCTCCTCTTCTCTCCTCCTCTCTCCTCCTCTCTCCTCCTCCTCATCTCTCCTCCTCCTCCTCCTCCTCCTCCTTCTCCTCCTTCCTCCTCTCCTTTCCCTCCTCCTCCTCCTCCTCCTCCTCCTCCTCCTCCTCCTCCTCCTCGTGCTCCTCCTTCTCCTTATCCCCCTTGTGCACCCATCTTTGCCCCCCCGTTCTTGCCCCCCCTGGGCGCCCGCGCAGCAAGGGCCGCTCCCCCGCCCGCGCAGGGACCTCTGCCCGCGGGCGGTGCGGCGGGCCCGGGGCCTGCGCACGGCCGAGGCCTCCCCGAATGGGGCCCGGAAAGTGTGTGTGTGTGTGTCTTCTGTGTCAAAAGGTCCGGCGATAACCTGGGTTATCGGGCCCGCCCTCGCCCTCTCCCTCCCGCTCACGGGGCCTCGTCGGTCGCGCAGGTCCGAAGGGGGTGCGCGGTACCGGTGCTCGCGGGCCTACGTCGGCCTGCCCAGAGAGGAAAAGGTGTGGCTGTCGGACGGCACCCCCCATCGAATAATCGGGGCTCCACCAACAAAGGAACAGCCTATTTCTGGAGTGCGGTCGGGGGCTTTTGGATAGCGTGTCGCGCTGCAGGTTCTGGCCCATTGCGCTTCGGCGCGACGCGCGAGCCACTTCCCAGTCCCCATGAATCCCGCTTGCAGGGCACGGCGTGCCGCCGGTGCCGCCGCCGTGAGGCGCTGAGCAAAAGGTTCCTGCCCGTGGATGAGGTCGGAGGATCGCGTGGGGATTGGCGTGGAGCCCGGCTTTCTCCACGCCGACGGCGGCCGTGCTGCATTGGCGATGCGGTCCGATCCTCCGACCGGCACGGCCCAGGGGCACGGCGTCTCAGTGGCCTCTGGCGGGCCTTCGGCAGCCCCCGGCGGCGTGCGACGGCGACGGCTCCCGGCGGGCTTCGGCGGCGGGGTAGGGGGGCCTCTCGCCCCCCGGGCGGCCGCAGGATCCTGACCACCCCGTGGCGCCCGCTTCATTTCAGGATGTTCCTGCCCTCCTCCTCCTCTTGCCTCGGCCTCACGTGTCGACGGGAACGCGGCTGCAGTCGAAGAGCTTCTTCCTTTTCCCCTCCCCCCGCCCATCCTCCCTTCCCCTGTCCGGCTCCAAGTTTGCCACTGCGCAGCCTTTGGGAGAACGCGCTGGCAGGAGCCGCGCGGGAGAAGGCACGCGGGAAGGTGGCTGGGAATGATGCCCAGGAGACCCCAGCCCAGTGGTTGGCCAGAAGATGAGGATTCAATCCAGTCCTATCCTCCCCCTCCTCCTCCTAATCTAGAGGAGGAGGAGGAGGAGGAGGAGGAGGAGGAGGAGGAGGAGGTGGAGGAGGAGGAGGAGGAGGAGGAGGAAAGGGAGGAAAAAAAGAAGAGAAGGAGGAAGAGGAGGAGGAGGAGGAGGAGGAGGAGGAGGAGGAGGAGGAGGAGGAGGAGGAGGAGGAGGAGGAGGAGGATTGGCTGGCACGCGTATCTCGACCGGGTCCAAGGGGAACTTCGACACCCCGAGCCCGCGGAGGGCCGCCGCAGGCCGCCGGCACCCGTCGAGGGGGGGCGGTGTCCTGGGAGGTCGCGCAGATGGTCGCGGACGCCCAGAAGGCGGGCTCGGCAACGTACTGGATGAGGCAGAGCACCGGACTGCAGAGGACCGTCCTCCGCCCTGTCCTGCTCCTGCTGGTGCTGTTGCTCCCGCTCCTCCTGCTCCTCCCGCTCCGAATCCTACGCTTGTGACGCTCTCCTCCTTCTCCTCCTCCTCCCCCTCTTGCTCCTCCTCCTCCTCCTCCTCCTCCTCCTCTTCTCTCCCCGCGTCGGGGGGGAGTTACTGCTGTGCTGGATACCATATCCTGGTGTTCGGTCCTATGGCGCGGGGGCACTGCTAGTGAGTCCACGCGGCGGCAGGGGGGAGACAACCCATCTTGGGTCGTTTCAGCTGCGTGGCACATTGCCCATAGCATGTGGCGCCTTTAGCTGCGCCCGTTGCGCTGGTGCCATGCTTCGCGCTGGTCATGAGGCACGGGGACTGCGCATTCGGTTGAGAGGCGGGGCAATGTGGTCCGTAAGTCACATGGGGCCTTGTGTCCGCATGATTGTTCAGTTGCTGCGATGTATCGATCTCCCTGGTCCACCAAACAATGCGAGCAATAAGAGGACCTCACTTGCTTTGGAAGGATCTGCAAACAGTTGCTTCGATCTCCCGTTCTCTCCTTGACATTCCAGGGATGGTGTCTTATGAATGGTGCAGTGTAGTGTCGCAGTTGCTGCGAATTCTCGTTCTCGCCCTGGTGCTCTATTGGTGGTGCCCTATGGCTGTGTCTCTGGTATGAATTCGTCGCTTCGATTTCTCGTCTTCGCCCTGGTGCTCGGTGGGTGGTGCTCTGTGGCTGCATCGTGTTTCATAACCTCAGATCTGCTGCGACGTATGGTTCTCGGCCTTGTGCCCTGCGGGTGGTGCCCTGTCCTTGGTGCGTTTCGATGTCGTAACTGATGCGACGTCTGGTCCGTGCTTTGGTGCTGTGAGGGTGGCGTTGTACTGCTAGGGCACCAGTTGTTGCAATTTCAATTTCTCGCCCTGGTGTTCCACGGGTGGTGCTCCATGGCTTGCACTCTTGGTTCATGATCCATCGTAGCTGCGGCTTCTGGTTTCGCGCCCTGTTTCTAACGGTGATGTACGACGCCTGGTGTTCTATGATGACACAGTTGGTACGATACCTCAGTTTATTCCTGGTGCCTTGTGTCACTAGGTAGCGCACAATACGAACCAGCAGTTGGGTGTGGCAGTTCGCCGAACCGCCAGGAACCCCCCCAGTGGAGTTTTAGTTGTCAGTTTTTTGTCATGGTTTTTCGTCGGTTGTTCGGTGGTTTTTCTGTGGTTTTCCAGAGGGGGCACCCCGAACAAAAACCCAACTCGGGAGTTGTTCTGTGTTTTGTTCTGTAGTTTTTTTAGTTGTTTTTCTCCCGGGGGTGAACCCAGAAAAAACAACCCAACTCTCAGGTTTTTCGGTGGTTTTTCCGGGGGGAGAACCCCCGAAAAAACTTTACAACTCCATATGTTTTGTGTGTGTGTGTGTGTGTTTTCCCGAGGTTCTAGGGCCCCACACTTAAAAACAGGACTGCGTCTGAAAACCCCGGCGGACAACCCCCACAATTCAAAGCAATATTATTTTTTTCAAACCCCCGAGACAACCCTCGAACACGAGAAACCCTCAACCCAGGAGTTGTGCTGAAGTTGGTTGGGAATTTTTCGACGGAAAAACCACAGACAAGAAACCCAACACTTTGTTTTTCTTCTGTGGATTTCCGGGAGGAACCCTTGGAAAACCACTCAACTCGGACGTTGTTCAGTTGTTTTTCTGGTGTTCCTGGGCCCCGCACTTACAAAGAAAATGTTCGATCACCTTCCTGAAAACCACCGAACAAAAAAAGTTTTACTGTTGTTGGTCTAATGTTTTCCGTGGGGGGAACCTTCGAAACATTTCCCAACTTGTTTGTTTCCGGTGGTTTTTTCGGGGGCTCTCCCCGGGGGGGGACTTCCGAAAAAAAACACTGCGGGTTTGTTTCTTGTTTTTGTGGGTTTGGGCCCCCCACAATTGAAAACAACACTATGTATGAAAACCCCCTGGTCAACCCCCGAACACATCCCCAACTCTTTTTTTCTGGGGTCACACATTTCAACCTAGATTATTAGATTATTGCTGAAAACAACGGAAAAACAACATACTCCAGACACAAGAAAAATCTGGTTCTCTTCGGGGGGGTCGGGGGTTCTAGGGCCACACAAGTGAAAACAGTACAATGCTTGACAACCTATGAGCAAACTTTAGAAACGAAATAACAACTCACGTTTTTTTTATAGTTGTTTGTTGGCGTTCTGGGGCCACGCAAGTAAAAAACAACGTTGTACTCTTGCGCAGGGTGTCGGGGCTCGTTTGGGTGTTCCTGAGGCCTCCCGCGCGCTGGAGCCCGTCTGGAGCCATCTTGGAGAGTATCTTGGGCATCTTGGCAGCCACGGAGGGTTGGTTTGAGGCTCCGAGGCCTCTGGAGGTCGGCGTGTCGACAAGCTCGTGCCCCCCCCCCACTCCAATGGCAATTGGGACCCCAGGGGGAAGGGCGACAGCCAATCCTCCTCGTCGTCGTCGTCGTCCTCCTCCTCCGTAGCCATTTTGGCTCAAGAGAGGACGCGGCCGCGCCGCTCCGCGCCAGCGGGCCCAACGAGGAGGGCCGGCAGCGCTCTGGCCCGATGGCCGCCCGCAGCGCGCCCCTGGGGCTGGTGGCGGCGCCGGCCTGGCGCGGCTCGGGCGTGGAGCCGAGGCGGGACACGCCCGCGGGCAGGGCCGACGCCTTCGAGCGGCAGGCGCAGGAGGGCGCCGCGGCGCGGCGCGCAAGCCTGCGCGCGGACGCGGGCGCGCTCGCGGACCGCGTGGAGTCCCTCGGGCAGCTGCTCGGGGACGAGATCCAGCGCAGGTCCGACGGTCAGGCGGATCTCAGGGCCGGGCTGGGGGAGAAGCTGGCGGCCGCCCAGGGCAGGCTGGACGCCGTCTTCCTGGGCCAGTTCGACGGCGTGCAGTCCTCGCTGCTCGAGCTGGACGAGCGGATGCGGGCCGTGGAGCAGGACTTTGGCCGGTGCAGAGAGGCCTACTTGCAGGAGCGGCAGGGCCATTGCGCACGTAACTTCGGCAGCCTGCAGAGCCTCCGGCAAGCCTTCGACAGGGAGGCGTCCCAGCGCAGGGACCGCGAGGCGCTACTGTCCGCGGCGCTGGCCGAAGCGGAGCGGCAGGCCGCGGTGCGGCTCGACCAGGGGCGGCTCGCGTGTGAAAGACGCTTCGACCAGCTCCGCCAGGAGGCCACCGTGTGCGTCCGCGAGCTCGAGGCCTCGCGCGAGCGCTTCCGCGCGAACGCCGCCGCCGAGCTGGACTGGGCGAGGCGGGAGCTGGGGTTGGCTGCCAGGGCGCGCGAGCAGGCCGACGACGACGTCGTCGCCATGCTCAACCGCTACACCAGCGACATGCAGAGGGCGCTGTGCAGCGCGAGCGCGGACTCCGTGCGGTCTGCGAGCGCCAGGTCCAGCTTCTCGTTCTTTACCAGCCTCGAACGTATCCCTATCCCTAAGATTGACACGCCAAAAGGCGATGACAATCTGAGGGATTCGCTCTCAAAAAATCAGGGAATCCCTAAGATTGGCATCGTGATGAGGAGGTGCCCAGCATAGGGATAGGGACATGTTCCAGGCTGGTAAGTTCTAGCCTGGCTCGGAGGCCCTCCGAGGCCCTCGGTGTGCTCGGCGCGGCCGCCGCCCCTTCTCGGTCGGCGGACGGCCGCAGCGGGGCGCCCGGCCAATGATTTCCAGGAATCTGTATCTCTAGTTGCCGCGTGCCGCCTGGGGCAAGCACTCCTGATCCTGATCTGCCTGGCAAGCCCCCGTAGACGGTGAGCTGCCGGTTGCCGGTAAGCTTCGCAGATCCGGTCACCGGCAAGCCCCGGCAAGAGTGTATGCTCTGATTCGTTGTTGCCGTCTTGCATGTTCCTTCCCTCCCCCCCGGCCTGACTCTCACCGTTTGCTTTCGACGAAGTCGCCCACGGTCGGAGCCAACGTCCGAGCTCCTCCCCCTCCGCCTCCTCCTCCTCCTCCTGATCCTCCTGATCCTCCTCCGCCACGGCTCCTCCTCCCCCTCCTCCTCCTCCTCCTCCTGCTGCTCCTCCTTCTCCTCCTCCTCCTCCTCCTCCTCCTTCTCTTCCTCCTCCTCCTCCTCCTCCTCCTCCTCCTCCTCCTCCTCCTCCTGATCCTCCTCCTTGCACGCCTTTCCACCCCCGACGAGCGGGGTCGGCGGCGTCTCCTTCTGCTTCCACGGCCCAGGTAGGAGGAGGAGGAGGAGGAGGAGGAGGAGGAGGAGGAGGAGGAGGAGGAGGAGGAGGTGGAGGAGGAGGAGGAGGAGGAGGAGGAGGGGAGGAGGAGGAGGAGGAGGAGGAGGAGGCTCCCTCGTGCCTCCTTCCCTCCCCCCCGGGCGGGCCGTTCCTTCCGCAGCCAGTGTTCTCCCTCGTCCCCGTGCCGCTCTCCACCCCCCGCCGAGCGGCTTGAGGAGGGGAAGAAACACACACAGACACGATTCATCGTCGATTCCAAAGAACATATGGGAAACTATGGGAAGTGGGGGGGGGGGAGAGACAAAAAAACAGAAAATATGCGGAACTATATGGGGAACATTTCTATTTGCGTGTATTTATTTGTGTGTCCTGGGGCCCCTTCACAATTGGACGACCTCCCCACCAGCCACCCCTGGCGGCGCCTCTGTCGCCGCCCCGGGCGCGCTCCGCGCGCTGGGGAAGGGGTGTGGGGAGGGGGACCTCCGATGCATTACGTATGTCGATACTTCTGCTTGCGTATTCCATGCTCGTCGCCCCCATCGGACTCTGGCGTCATAAACAAATCACCGCGGGCCTTTTTCTTCGGCGTCACCCTGACATACTAATACTATGTGTGCGTCGCCCCCTCAGGTGGGACGCACGCACCGAGAAATCTTATAGTCTATGCGTCGTGGCGGGCGCTTTATGGCCACACGGCTCGGGAAACGATATACTACCATATTGGTATACTATACGTCAGAGCGTGAATTACCTACCCCGGTTTCGCTTCCAGGAAAAAACAAGTCATACCACGCACCTCTTCGTCAAGCGGCCTGACCAGTACAGGCCGTAGTTTGGCATCGCTTGGTATCTCTTGGAAGCGAGGGTGGTCAAAAGCGAGGTAGGTTCGTTTTCTCCCTAATATGTTCGTGCCGGGCGCGCGCCTCCAAGGAGTGCCTATTAGTATGTCTTTGTGCGCCCCATTTGGCCCAGACCCGGGGGCCCCAGGGATCGATTCCGCTTGAGGGGTGACGCAGCAAGGTGGAGTCGAGGTCTCTCGTTCAGATTTGTTCGTGCCGTCGTGATTTCTCACGACGTGGGCATTTTCGGGTCACCTTCCGCGTCCTCCCCAGAACATGAGTGTGCGTGTTTTCGCCTCTAGCGTCTGCGCCCTGCCGGCTTCCCGAGGACAATCTCCATGGAGTACCACGAGGAGTCCATGCGGCTCTTCGGGCAGGAGTACGGTAGTAATGATTCCAGGTTCTTAGGACGCAACTTTAGGGAGGTGACAGTCAGCGTCGGCGCTGGTATATCCGCGTTCGAAAACTGGGCACATCCGGAATACTCGCTTTATCGCGCTTGACCCTGTTTAATTTGGTTGGCAATCTGGCTTAATCCTGGGCGTTATCCAGTCTGACCCGGCTTCGTGGCTCCTTATTGGGCTCAAAAGCTCTCAATCGTTCTCCCGAAGACCTCCCTGGAGTTGCTTCCTAGAGGTTCAGGTTCGGGCCCGCGTCGGAGAAGACTAACCAACAGAACAAGACCGATGGGCTCGCGTCGTTCATGCTCTCCACCGGCATCGGTGACCAGATGGCCCAGGCCCTGGACAGCATCAACGAGAGCGACCACGAGGTCCGGCTGTCCTCGCTGAAGACCCAGGGGATGCTGGGCGCGGGAGCGTTTGGGAAGGTGATCAAGGTGCTGGACGCCAGGACTCGAACCAGAAAAACGGCATACGTGGTCCTACGCTTTCGGAGACCCGGGCGGATTTCTTGGATCTGCGCTGCCCCCCTTTCGCGGCGCTTGAAGCCGTCCTTGGCACGCTCCGCGCGCTGGGGAGGGGGGCCTGGCGTCGATCCAAGAAATCCGCGCGGATTTTCGAAAGAATGCAGTTTTGCTCGTCTTTCAAGGACGGCGGAGGTCTACGCCATGAAGCTGCAGAAGAGGAACATGACGACCAAGTTCGCCGTCCGGGAGGCGCAGGCCATGGAGTACTCGCACGCGTTCATCGTTCGCATCGTCCACATATTTCAGACAAGGACGTTTTATGGTATTCTCATGGAGTGCTGCGAGAGGAATCTAAACAAGTGCATCCTCGACTACGCAGACAGCAGCGGCTACGCCAACGGGCTGCCTGACGCGAAGACTGCCAAGTACACTTCGTGCGTTGCCCTCGCGTTGGACAGTCTCCACGGCAGGAGACGGGACTTTACCGTTCCACTTGTCCAAGAAGTTCCGTTTCATACGGCGGCCGCCCTTGGAAGGGGGAGGAGGATGACGAGGAGTTAGGAAGGAATGGAGGGAGGGAGAGAGGTAAGAGGAGGAGGAGTAACAGGAGGAGGAGGTGGAGGAGGAAGAGAGATGAGAGAGGAGGAGATAGGAGAGGGGCCAGCTAGGTGCGCTCGCGCTATATCTGACATCGTACCCCTCCCTCCCATCCCTTCTTGTTGCGCTGATGTTGTTCTATCCGCGGGCGCGTGTCATAACCAACCTGGAATTCCGAGAAAGACCCCATCGTGTTGTGAGCAATCGGAAAAGGGGAGCTGCGCACATAGGAGGAGGAGGAGGAGGAGGAGGAGGAGGAGGAGGAGGAGGAGGAGGAGGAGGAGGAGGAGGAGGAGGAGGAGGCGAAAGAGGAGAAGGCGGTGGCGGCTGAGCAGGGGGAAGAGAAGCACGACGACGAACAGCAGCAGCAGGAGCTGACGCAGCAGGAGCGGCAGGAGCAGGAGGACCGGGGGAGAGGCTCGGGACCAGAGCAGGCCCATGACGCAGCAACGATGCTGCGGCACACCCTCTGGCCCCAAAGTCCCCGCAGACGTCCCCCATCAGCTGTCGTTTTTTTCACAGCAAGAAGTGCACACCCGAGAAAGACGAGCTCCCGAGGGGCCCGCTGTTCCGTCGGGAGCCCCGTGCCGAAGAGGAAAGGGCGTCCATCCTGTGTACCTTTCTCGCGAACGGTAAGGGATATGAAACGGCGGGATCAGAAAGTTCAACCTCTTCCTCTTCCTCCTCCTCCTCCTCCTCCTCCTCCCCCTCCTCCCCCTCCTCCTCCTCCGACGTGTCCAGCCAGAGTCCATCCTTTGTACCTTTCTAGCTTGCGCTAAGGTCACCACCTACCAGACCACCCCAACCCAACCCGAAGGCCCCGATGTGCCCTCCATTCCCAGTGGGTGGGGGGGGGGGTGTCGGGGAACACGGGAAAACACACATGAAGCCCGTACCCCCCCCAACCCGAAATCGGGATCTTCGGATTGGGTTGGGGTGGCTTGGTAGGTAGTCATAAGGGATATGAAAAGGCGGGATCGGAAAGTTCAACGGCGTGTCCAGCGAGAGGCCCCCTCTGGGAAGGGAGCAGCGCTCCCTTCCATGTCACTGCCGCACAATATTTGCACGCCAGCCCCAGAAATATAGGAGGACTTCTCAAGCGAGAGCTCCACTTTTGAATGGAATCGCCCTGCAAGCTACTGCATGCTGTTTTAAGACGAAAGTGCGCCCCGCCACGGTGAGATACCCACTTCGAAAGGGAGCCGCCCTACATTGTTGTAGCTGTGGCAAGCTTTCTATACGATTGTTCGCGGTGCTGAGGCGAGAGCTTCCTTGAAACAAACGAACCTGCCTCCATCCTTGAAGGTGTTGCCACTCGTTCAAGGGGCGCTACGTCGAGATCCGCTTTGCTTTAAACGAAGCGGACTCCATTTTTGAAGCAGCCGCACATTTTTCCGACGACTGCTCGCCGCGCGATGCGAGAGCAGCAATTTGAAACAAGCAACGCCCTCCACATTTGAAACTGTTTGAGCTTATTAGCTTCAGGGCCGTAATTCCCGACCTACGGATACGTATATTGGTGCGAAAAGCGGGATTTGTTCATAAGGGAGATGGAGGCGAATGAGGAGGGAGGGATGAGGAGGAGGAGGAGGAGGAGGAGGAGGAGGAGGAGCAGGAGATAGGGGCAGGTGGAGGTAGGAGGGAGGGAGAGAGGTGGGCAAAGAGGGATGATGATGATGATGCTGATGATGATGATGATGATGATGATGATGATGATGGAGGAGAGGAGGAGGAGGAGGAGGAGGAGGAGGAGAGGAGGAGGGAGGGTGCTGGGGAGGACTGACCAGCGTCAGCATCTCGGATGGGCCTCCCCCAGAACTCATTCTCCCTATCCCACCACCTGATCATTTTCAGTCCTCCTTCTCCTCCCTTCTCCTCCTCCCTCTCCTCCTCCTCCTCCTCCTCCTCCTCCTCCTCCTCCTCCCTCCTCCTCCTCCTCCTCCTCCTCCTCCTTCCTCCTCCTCCTCCTCCTCCTCCTCCTCCTCCTCCTCCTCCTCCTCCTCCATGTGCAGGTCGGTAAACGGCTGGACACAGCAGAAGAGGTGGCCGCAGAGTCGGAGGAAGGCCAGTTCGGACCACGGCGGCTCTCCCGCCGGGCCCAAATGCGGGTCCGAGATGGGCCTCCGGCCCCCTCGCGGGGTTCATTCGGGCCTGGCCTTCGGCGCGGGTCGAGCCGCGGCGACGAGCACCTTCCAGGGGGGCCCAGGAGGACGACACCACGGCCAGGGAGGGCCGCCGCCGTCGCGATCGGCCCTCGTCCTGGGGGCCAGGAAGCGGCCTCCGGATGTGGGGGGCGAGGGAGCGCTGGCCGGCACGATTGCTTTTGATGAGCGTGTTTTCCACCACCACCACCATAAGTTGGAGGGGGGGGTCCTCCTCCTCCTCCTCCTCCTCCTCCTCCTCCTTCTCCTCCTCCTCCTCCTCCTCCCCCTTCGCACCATCCAACTCATGGTGGTGGTGGTGGTGGACAACGCGCTCATCAGCTTTGGGCGACGCCTGGATCTGAGAGCCCGCTCCCCGCAGCAGCCTGCGCGGGGGGGGTGCCTCATGCGTTGTGGAGGGCGATCAGTGGAGAGGAAGCGTGCTGCCCGATGACTTCCAGATGTCTGAAGTATGTATTAAAAACATGGCTTAAACATGTAGAAACCTGTTGAACACATGTCCAGAACATTTTTTCCTGCATGTTAGACACATCTTAGGTTCAAGGGTAGGACTGTTAGGGTGTCCATTGTCGTGGTATTCGCAACGCATGCGGCGAGGGGCGCGGGGGGGGGCGGCTCCAGAGGGGCGAGGGGCGAGGGGCGAGGGGGGGCGGCTCTCCAGAGGGCAGGGGCCTCTGGCCGAGACGGGGGGCCACGGGGGGCAGAGCGCCGACTGAGCAGGTCAGTGTGGACACCGTCCATCCACGGATGCCACCACCACCTCCTCCTCCTCCCTCCTCCTCCTCCTCCTCCTCTCCTCCCTCCTCCTCCTCATCCTCCTCCTCCTCCCTCCTCCTCCTCCTCCTCCTCTCCTCCTCTCCTCCTCCTCCCTCCTCCTCCCTCCTCCTCCTCTCTCATCATCATCATCATCATCATCATCATCATCATCATCATCATCATCATCATCATCATCATCATCATCATCATCATCATCATCATCATCATCATCATCATCATCATCCCTCTTCGCCCACCTCCTCCTCCTCCTGGCGGAGTGCGAGAGGCACTCCGCCAAAGAGGAGGACGAGGCTCCTTTGGTGCAGGCTGCTCGAGCGCAAGCCGCGTGCAGTCCTCCGACTCGGGCGTGGTTCCTGGCCGGGGGGTTGGTGGCTTTCCTTGCGCGCCTGCCACTCTCAAGGCCATTCGTTTTCGGCTGGCGAAGCGAGAACGGCTCGCCAGTGATGGTCAGTGTTAAGAGATCTTCCCCAGGCGGGGTCGGTTCGATTCCGATTCTCTGACGAGCCGTTGCGGCTCGATGCTTGCACGGCGCGGTTGTGCATCCTTTCGCAGCCGATCCGATCCGATCCGATCCAGGCCCCGTGACTGTAGCCCGATCTGGCCCACGCTGCGATTCGATCGGAGTTCCCGATCCGGTGATGACTGATCCTGCGTCGCTTGTCCCGAGCGGCGAACGCACAGTGCCGTTTTTGAATACATGCCCCGCGTGCGGAGCATGTATGCAAAATGCAGGGATTTAGTATTGAAAGCAACGATGAGTTCATGCATCGATTTATTCATACATTAATCATGTATTAAAAGTCCATATTTTAAAAATCCCATGTATAAAGAAAATAACTGCCCTGTACGCCTTCGCTGTCTGGATTTGGGGGTGCCCTCCCGCGGATGCGCGGTCGCACGGAGATACGGTCCGCGCGGGGCGCCCCCGCGAAGAAAACCTCCGCCCCGCAGCCGCGGGGCCCCGCGGAGCCGTGGGGTCTCCGGCCCGCGGGGCCGCGACAATGCGGACAGGGCTTCCGCAAACGAGCAGGCGCGCGAGTTCCAACCAGCAGGTCCTACAGCCGGGGTCCCGAAGAAGGAACTCTGTTCGTTGGGGAGGGGCTCCGCGTTCCTTCAGTGTTTCGCAGTTTGCCTCAGGTTTTCTTTATGCTTTCGATCGAAAATCGAAGTTTAACTTATGGAACAAAGGGGCCTCGTTCCTTCTTTGGGGTTCCTTAGGTCGAAGCCCCGACTGTAGCAGCCTGGCTCGGGGAACCCTTTTTGATCCGCTGGTCGAGAGCGCGCCTCTTCCGGTCGAAGCGAAGCGGGCCGCGCGAGGCTTGAATGCGGCAGAGAAGAGGAGGGAGGAAGCGGCGGAGCCTCAGAGCGAGGCCGAGAGGAGGCATAGCCTCGGGTACAGGCGGTGCCGAAGCCGAAGTCCTTGCAGCTCGGGGAACACAAAGTGGCATAAGCATAAAAACTCGGAGAGATCCGCGCGGATTTCTCGGATCGGCGCCGGAGGCGCCGCCGGGGGGGGCCCAGGCGCCGATCCAAGAAATCCGCGCAGAGCGCCGAAAGTTTAATATGTATGCGGAGTTTGCTTCTTCGGGTATCAAGAAGTTCGAGATCTCGGATGCCTGGGAATCCGTGGTGCCGATCCGAGAAGTCCGCGCGGACCTCCGAGTGTTTATGTTTCAGGCCAGCCACAACTGGGGGAGCTGTGGTCCGTACCCCCCTGGGGGACCCATCGATTTCGACACCCCTCTCGAGAGCTCGTCGAGGCGATGGGTTCCCCCAGGGGGGTAAGGACCACAGCTCCCCCAGTTGTGGCTGGTCGGTGTTTATGTCAGTTTTTGTTCCCCTACTGGCACCCCCGACGTGCCAGCGCTGTTGTGCAGGCCGCGCGGCACCTGCTGCAGGGCACCCTCGGGGCACCAGCCACGCGGCGCACCCCA